TTTAAAAGTGCAGTGGCCCCTTTCTCCGCATGAGGGTTCAGGGCTTAGGGTTTAGGGTTTAGGGTTTAGGCTACTAAGCTAAGAGACAACAGAAGCCTCATTCCAGACAGCCCTAAACCCTAAACCCAAGTGTCTGAACAAAACACCAGAGTCTCCAGAAGAAGGCTCAACCCTCTGGGTTTGCAAGGATCTAGAGGGTTTACGCAGCTGCGAGGTTTCGTAAGGTTCTAAAGGGACCCTTAATAGGGAACCTTGTAGGCTATTGGGGTTAATATGGAGACTACCTGGCTATATAAGGGGTATATAAGGACTATACAATGGTTATTTAAGGTACTGGGATTAAGGGTCCCTGTTAGGGGTCCCTCCTAAAGCGTGTCTGCTATGCAGGGCTACAAGTCTTTTTGTATTAGGTTCAGAGAGGCTTATATGGGGGTAAACCCTAAACCCTAAACCCTAAACCCTTCCTCAGATGTCACGCGCTCCAGTAGGACTGCAGCTGCACCTACCGGAACGCTCAAGGTCAAGCTTACCCCGCGGGATACTCATTGGGTTTAGGGTATAGGGTTTAGGGTCTAGGGTTTAGGGTTTAGGGTTTAGGGTTTAGGGTTTAGGCTCATTGAACCACAACCAGTAAGAAACCGTCGTCTGTATACCTTCAATTTCTAGTCATTGGGATTCTTGCTATGATTTCAGAAGAATTTTTCAGAATCGCGAGGCAAAACTTGGGTTTAGGGTTTAAAGTTCAGGGTTTAGGGTTCAGAGATCAGGGTTCACGATTTCCTCGAACGCCAGGGAGAGGCAATTCGATACAGCCCAAACCCAAAACCCTAAACCCTCTGCATAATTGTCAACTTTAAGCTACTAACACCTACTTTTTCGTAGTCCCTATACATCATACATTAGGGCTTATATGGTTCATAATAACGACCTACGAATCGATTTTTCGATAAGATTGAATTTTTCATGCTATTTATAATTTGCATTGATTAAGAATTCTTTAAAGAAAATTTATAAATTTGAAGAAAAAATATAGGTCATGTAGCTTGTGGTGCTGTAGATCGAGGGTTTTGCCTTGCAACCTTGGGACTTCCATCCCGGTTAGGGTTTAGGGTTTAGG